AGGGGAGCAGCAGGTGAGACAGGAGGGATCTGCTGCACCATGTGGGTCACCCCGGGACTGGGGATAGAACTCGCACTGAAGTAGCTGTGGCTAGCTTGCAGTGCTATACTTTAAACCCATTGCGCCACCAGGTAGGGCCCCGAAACAGCCTTTCTTATTACGTGACTGAAAAAAATGTGTGGAGCCTGTGATTTTCCTGGGGGAGGAAGAATGGAGCCTGACAGTCACAGATGACACGTAAATTCTGTCAGCACAGGAGACTGGTGGTTCCCGGTTGAGTTTGCAAATCTCTGTGTCATCACATCTGGTCCGGTGCTGGTGTGTAGCCACAGCCACAGCAGCAAAGCCTGGGACAGACATCTGCCCATCTCCCGCCTGGAGAAAGGTCCCCGGTAACCCTTGGTCAGACTGGCAACACAGGCCACTCAGGACCTGCCTATGTAGTTCTTTCAGAAGAAAACCTGCCCCACATAAAATGCTGGAACTCATTACCTAGACTGACCTTTCCAGTGATTCATATTTCACAATTGCTTCCTCTAGGTTATGAGCTTCAATCTGCCTTCTGTCAAACACTTCAGAGCCCGTTTTTCCTTGCCTCTTGACATTTTTGGTCACCTATTCACTGACTGACATTTTTTAAGAAAAAAATTATTTTAGATCTATTTTATTTGTGCATACAGAACTGGGTACAGGCCAGAGGCTCATGGGCGGTGAGAGGCTTCACCAGAGACAGAGTGGGGAGCAGAACAGGCAGATCAATGAAACACACTGCTGAGGGGAGCAGTGGGCGGGTCAGGAGAGGTCTGCCGCGCCATGTGGGTCATCTCTGGGGCTGGGGGTCGAACTCGCACCGAAGCAGCTGCGGCTGGCTTGCAGTGCTGTGTCCTAATCCATTGCACCACTAGGGAGGGCGCCACTGACTGTTTTTTTAACTGTCCAAGGTATGCAAAGGTACTGGAAGAATAGCCGCTAGAGTGCATTATGGCAGGAGGGAAGGAGGAGGAAAGTGGAGGGAAGGCAGAAGACCAACAAAGTGCCTTTCATCTACCCTGTCTGTCCTGCTAATACAGGAATTATTAGCCCAAAACAGGCATAAGTGGGGAGCAGAGGCTGAGAACAAAATCCTGGCCTTTGGGGGGGGGGGGGTTAATTGCTCATACTTTGGGAAAGGACAAGGTAGTGCGTGCCTGTGTCCAGGGAGGCTTCTGGAATGTTGTACGAGTTGGGTGCTTGTCTCTCCCTGTTGCTACAGTTGATAGGAACATAACAGTCTGCCGAGAGCCCGGAAACAATGTTGCTTGGTTTTGCTGATTCCCTTGGGTGTATCTCTACGGCTCCTGATCACTACAAGAAGACCTTCACCTTCAACTTTGATTATTTTGTTTGTTGTTGTTGTTGTTGTTGTTTAACATACTGTATCCAAACAAGGTTGAGTAGTAAGTAAATGTTTATTGCAAACATTAATTGGTAAAATTCCCAACAGTCGCTTATAGATGTTCATGGTCTTCGTTCACCAATGAATCACTGAGCCCCACAGTGAGTGACAGGAAGAGCCAGTCTGATCCAGGCAAATCTCCATTTCAAATCTGCATTCACATTATCATCATCGTCATCATCAGTATTCTGCCACATCAAGGTTCAAGAGTTTAGGGTGCAGATGGTTTGGAAGGGGTTGCGGCACATTTTTTGACCTCCACATGTGGTTATTTGAGGAATGTATACATCCAGGTAGGCCCGGATCTCTGGAACCCACCTACTAGGCTATACAGTGGGTAAAGGCTTAGGCAGTAGCATCTGGAACTTCACCCCCAACTAAAAGGAGCGAGAACAGGAAAGGCAGCTTCCCAGCCAAGAACGCTGCTCACGTCTAAAGAAGCAAAGAGCTCTGGAGTCGCTTACTGGCTTCTCTTTATCAAAGCTGTAGATAACACAAATAGAGAATGATTTAGAGATTCTCCCGTCGTGATTTTTAGGGTTTTTCAGAGGAAGGGTCAGAACAAGGTGGTCATGAAGAAATTATTTTACTCAGAGGACAATTTTCAGGAAAAATTCAAACTTGAGAAAGGGCGCAGGGGAGGGTGGGTAGGTGGAAAGTGGGAGAAGCACAGGCCTGGAGACCAGAAAGGTCAAGTCCTTGAACTGCAAGAAAGAAGAGCCTTCAAGTCCTAGCCAGATGGGCCTGGTGAAGGAGACGGTGAAACGGGTAACACTGTGGTGGTGACTCCAGCGGTGACCCCTGCAGGTGGCCCTCAGACCCACCACCATCCTGACGCCCTGTAAGCTGGAGTAGCGAGCGACTCAAGCAAGGGATCCTCTGTGCTTGCTTTCGCTGCTGCTGCTGCCCCACGGCTGAGTCCCGTTGGGCCCTTGCCCAGCATGGGAGGCAATGAAAGAAAAGCAGGCAGAACCTTTTCGAGCCCAGCTTTTCCTCCTTAGCATTCTAACACCTATGTTTCCCCATTTGCAAAATGGCGGAGGCATGACAAGACCCCCACAGACGAGGGTGGGCTCTACCACAGAAACAAGAGTCAACGAATGCTTCAGAAATCTGAATGGCTCTTCGAGAGACGAGAAGGGGTTCCCAGCAGCCAGGGCCCTCCCTGGCCCACCTTACCCCCTGTGACTCTACTGATCTAGTATCTAGGAAAGAAAAAGCAAATTTAATTCAAATGCCATTCACATGCTTTCCTTTCTACACTTTCTTTTCCAGATGCTAACCAAAAATCATCCAGATGGGGTGCAGGTGCTGTAAAATGATACAAAGGTAAAGCTGAAAAATAAAGCGAACGGAGGGCTCTGTGGTTTATGCGCGGGCAGGTGCAAAGACCCGCTTGGATTCGGGGCTTTGCCCTGGCTGGGGCATGGTCAGCAGTGCCAAGAAATTAAGAGGTTGGAGCTGCTCTGATACTTGGAGAATTTTTCGTTGTATTTTTGCTCAGAGCTTGTTGTGAACACTGCAGTTCTCTAAAACTGAATTTTGTTGGGTTGGACTTGCTTTTCTCCAGAGAGCATCAGCACACACACACAAAAATTCCTTAAGCTTCAGGAATATCTGAAATGATATTGCTGAATATAAATCACCCCACTTACATATATATGTTAATTTTTCTATGTTCTCTTTCATAAATATTTGGGCATCATGAATAGAATTTTATATAACATACAGAGAAAAAATTACCTGATGGCTTTGCTTCCTTAACAAATAAAACTGTATTATTCTAGTTCCGTTCCATAACTATTTCTATGGACCTTTATCTATTCATATATATAGATAAGTAGATTGATAGACATGTAGAAGTTTTTCTCCGTTGTAATCCTAATATGATATTAGGCTTTATTAAAAAATAAAAACAGCATAAGAATCATTCATGCTATGCCACATTTCATATTTATCATTTTTTTAAAAGATTTATTTATTTATTCATTCATACAGAACTAGGGTACAGGGCAGAGATGTGGAGGGTGAGAGGATTCACCAGAGACAGAGTGGGGAGCAGAACAGGCAATCAATGAAGTACACTGCTGAGGGGAGCAGCGGGCGGGCCAGGAGATGTCTGCTGCTCCATGTGGTCACCTCCAGGGCAAGCAGGAATCGAACTCATGAAGAAGTGGCTTTAGCTTCTCAGTGCTGTGTTTTAACCCGCTGTGCCACCAGGGAGGGCCCATATTTATCATTTTGATGGCTGCATAATATTCCAATGAGAGGCTATACCGTCAATACTTAACCACTCCTTTCCCTGGTTTTGGACATTTGTTTTACTTTTCATTTACTTTTTCTTGCTCTTATTTTTATCTGTTTGATTTAGACAACACTTAAATCTGTTTGCTTTAAGCCTACACAGGTAGGCTTAAAGAGTCATTGATCACAGAAATTAGCAGAAGTAGAAAGAAACAGCCTTTGGTAGGAAGCATTGGTAGTGAGATTTAGTTATTAATAAGTGTAGTTAATTAATAACCAACCTGACGGATCTTCCCTATTGTCACCCTCCAGCTATCTCTTCGATCCTGTTCAAGTGTCCTCACCTGGCTATGTCAACGAAGGGAACAGTGGCAAATTAGATGAAGACGACACTGTTAAATTAAAAGGCAGGCAGAGCAGCCAAGCCTTGGGGCATCAAAATGACCTTCCGAGAGAGCTCTTAAAGAAGACTTGCAGCCATAACAGAACGGCTAGTGGGGCACCCCCTCAGGGAGCCCCGGGATGGGGACTCAGGGCTGGCAAGGCTGGTGGTGCCCTCAATGGCATTGGCCCTACTCCACAGCCCCCTGGTGACCCAGGGTCCCACCAAGATGCCAGGGTCTCCTGGGCCAGTACAGAAAACAGTGTTGACCCCACTGACGCCTTCCTTGAAGGGGGAGATGCCAAGGAACAGGACTGTGAACCACCCACCTCAGAAGAGGCCCGGGTCATGCTGAACGGAGAGCCCGGGGCCCCTACTGCCGTCTTGGAAGAACATAACCATGTCCTCCAGATCCCTAGCCCGGATTACCCTCAGCCTTGGGGCCCAACTGTAGACGACGTGAGCCATGAACCTGTGGAGGGAATTCACCTGGAGGTGAGGGACCAGGACTTGAGTTTGCCCTTCTCCCAGAAGAAGAGCTGGGATTCCTTAAACAAAGCTGTGGCCACAGACATTCTCAGTGTCTACTTGAAAGAAGAGGCGTCTGCTCGTGTCACACCTGTGGTTGGTTGGAGAAATGGGTGGGGGGCTGCCTGTGGCTCCCCTGGTGACAGATGTGGGGAGGTGACTGATGAGGACGCCGCGGTGGCTGAAGCCCTTGCAGCTTTAGAAGCAGCTACAGCAGGAGAAGATGTGGATGAGGCTGATTAGGGGAGGCTCTCTGGGGGGCACATCAGAGAGTGTCTCCCTACCGTGTGGGGGTGCTTTTGCTCCCTAGAGGTGGTGAAGAGTTGCTGCAGGCTGTGCCGGTGCAACCTTGCCAATAGTTTACATCCTGCAGCCTTTCTCGGGGTCTGTGCCATAGGCCGTGCTGAATCCTGAGAGCATCACTGTGTGGCTGGCTGTTCAGGATGCTGAAATCAAGTCAGACGCATTAGGGCCCTGTGCTACAGCATGTCTACATGTCAACCCACAAAGCCTTCCCCTGCCCCACTTTTCCCCATTTGCTCCAGATGTCTCAAGAAGGCTCTGAAACCCCAGGGCTGAATCCCAAAGTCACAGACTCAGCACATTCTGTTCGACTGTAAATTCTTTGTCTTGCTTTTGCGAGCCAAATGTCCTCACCCCAGGTAACGGTACCTATCCCTACTTTAAAGTGCCTGATGTGACCCCAGAGCTTGGCTTCCCTGCAGGGACAAGCACCCAGGGAACTAGTAACTGACCACTTGTTTGACAGCGAGTTCGAGTGCACAGAAGGACCAGTCAATGAATGGTTAGTCATGAGCTGCAATATCAAGACACCTTGACCTTAACATTTTTACATTCCTTTTTAATCTCTTTTAGGATTGGGGAGGCCAGTGAAAATAACTGTTCAAACTGATTGTGTCCTACTTGGGTTTTAAGTTCATGAGATTTGAAGAAGTGAAAGGATATGGGGAGTATTTTTTTCCATTTACTGTCTGATTCTGATTAAAATGTAACAGCATCTGTGTCTGCCTGTTTTAACTCATAGGTCAGTCTAATTTTCCCAGAGTATTATTGATCCTTAAGTTTCTTTCCATTTAAAGAACTTGGCTACTAAGAGACAGTGGAGGAGGAGACAGCCTCACTTTGCTCTGTCTCTGGAGGGCAAGCTCACGCCATGACTGCTTGTGCCAGCCAAGGCCTCCCTGGCTTTCTCTCTTGTAATGTACGAAGTCAAGGCCAGTCAAGTACCATGGGAGACGAGCACTTAGAATAGAAGCAACGTGCCAGGCACACCCGACACGCCTCTGCTTCCATGTCTTCTGCTTTGAAGCATTTTAGAAGAGTTCATATAAAACTGGGACAAAATTTGGCCGAGAGACCAGAGGTAGACAAAGAATTTTCCTCATCTGCATGTCAAAGCTACACATTCCAAACTAACCTGAGTATACAGTTGGGAGACAAACTGATGAGGACTTTTGTTTAGCTGGAGTCTTGTTTTGTTTTTGTTTTAAGATTTATTTGTTTATGCATACAGAACTGGGCTACAGGCCAGAGGTGTGGTGGGTGAGAGGATTCACCGGAGACAGCGTGGGGAGCACAACAGGCAATTGATGAAGTACACTGCTGAGGGGAGCAGCGGGCGGGTCAGGAGAGGTCTGCCACGCCATGTGGGTCAGCCCCCTGGCCAGGGATTGAACTCGTGCTTCAGTGGCTTTAGGGAGTCTGTAATGTGCTTTAACCCGTTGTGCCACCAGGGAGAGCTGGGTCTTGTTTTGAAAGCAAAAGCATAAAATTCTTTTGACAACAGTTACCAACCTTAAAAAAAAAATGCTAGAAAAATAACTTTCTTTCCAGATCCTATTCATCTTTTCCAGTTCTCCAAAATTGTGTCAAGACAATGGAGAATGGAGCATATAAACCTTGGTATTTACATAAACAAGATTTCCCAGGTGAACAGGGTGGCTGGTCACCGCTCATTGCCTGACATATCCTCCCTGTGTCAGATCTGATGCATGGAAAGGAAATGAAAGTGTTACATCACCCATTTAGGAAGTCAGAAGATCATAGGCTCTCAGATTTTCATGACATCAGTCAGTAGCCAGGAAACCAACCAGCAAAGACTGAGGGTATTTAAATGAAAAGTTCCCAGGAGGGAGAAAAGAAAAGGAAATAGTCTGCAAAGACACTTTTGAAAATAGTTTGCCAAATAGAATTATTGACTAGATATCTCAATAATTTGGAGGAGCCATCAAGATACAGTTTTTGGATTTTTTTAAAGAATTATTTATTTATACATACAAGATCAGGGGTGTAGTCTTGAGGGCCAGGGAGGTGTGAGGACTCACCAGAGACAGAGGTGGGAGCAGAAAAGGTTGCTCTACTGAAACACACTGCTGAGGGGAGCAGCAGGCGGGTCAGGAGAGGTCTGCTGTGCCATGTGGGTCAGCTCCCTGGCCGGGGATCGAACTCGTGCTGCAGCGGCAGCAATGACATCATAGTCCTACCCTTTGTGCCACCAGGGAGGCCCCTAATTTCTCTTTAGTTACAATTTAAGTCATATAGAGATATTTAAGGCATTAAAACTGACAACGTCTTTCAGCCTTCCTTTACCAAGGAAGTTTTTTTTTATAAAATCAGTGCCTATTTAAGACAAGAAAATGTGGTGGTTTGGTAGAGCTCCTGGATTATTTCAGAGGTTTTGTTTGATTTGGTCAATATGAAGACATTCATCCATACTATGAAAAACCCAGAAAATTTGCAATTTGGATATAATGTTCTGATTCCAAAAACATTTTTTTTCTATAGTCTCTCAATTAGATTAACTTACAAATAAAAACATCAAATTCTTATTAAACTGACTGAGATGACTGTGAAGACCTGAGCAGAGAAAGAGCACACCCCTTACTTTGTAGATCTGGGTCCCTAGAGCAGCAGGATGAGAGATCATTTTCTCACTAAGTAACTTCACCGGGTGCCAATAGACACTCAGTTCCAGTCCATATGGTTCTCTCGCTTGCCCAGTTCTTTCCCTTCTCCTGAGTCTCTCCAGTTCCACCTTCAAGTGCTAAGCAATGTGAATGTGACAGAAACATCAAGAACTGACTCAAATGACAGACATCACTGATTGCTCGAGTGAGGGTCTGACTGGCAGCTCAGAGGCAGCTTACTGAGTGAGCCCGGTGCTGAGTTCATCGCATGCCCACGCTCATAAAACCCTCAACCTGGGCCCTCCCTGGTGGCACAGGGGGTTAAAGCCCAGCACTAAGAAGTTAAAGCCACTTTAGAATGAGTTC